GTTAAATATGTAAAAAAAAAAAAAAAAAAAAGCTAAAAAAAAACTGCATTCACAATTTATTAAAAAAAAAACCTTTTTTGAAACATAATTATAATGAAGTGTTAAACCGAATGTAGATGCCATACTTCATATAAAATCATATTTAAAATTTTATAATGTTACTAGCTGTTGGCACAACTCTTTTGAGTAAATCAATTCATAATGCATGTGTTTCATTTGTTATGTATAATTATATATATAATATTTTCTAACAATGCATACAGCTGTGTGTATATTGCGAAAAATCGCATGGATTATGAGTTAAAGACACCTTTATATTTTGACCATAAAAACTAAAATGCTGCTCAATACTCATTACCTGTTGTTTCAACGTTAAATTTTCCTAACTTTCCTAAAGTTAAAAATATGTTGCTTCTTCCACGTTGTTTCAACGTTGAAATCAACAAACAGTCAATTTGTATTTTTTAACCTTGTTTCAACTCTACAATATCAAAAAATATACTCAACGTTGAAAACATGTTGAACCTTCAACGCTGTTTCAACGTTGAAATATCAACAAACATCAAACGTTGAGAATTTGTTGCAGCTTCAACCGTTGAGAATTTGTTGCAGCTTCAACGTTGAATATCGACGAGCATTCAACGTTAAAAATGTGTGCAGCTTCAACGTTATTTCAACGTTGAAATATCAACGAACATCAAACGTGGAGAATATGTTGCAGCTTCAACGTTGTTTCAACGTTGAAATATCGGCGAACATTCAACGTTGAAAATATGTTGCAGCTTCAACGGTGTTTCAACGTTGAAATATCAACGAACATTCAACGTTGAAAATATGTTGCAGCTTCAACGTTGTTTCAACGTTGAAATATCGACGAACATTCAACGTTGAAAATATGTTGCAGCTTCAACGTTGATTCAACGTTGAAAAAAGGTTGAGGATTCAACGTTGAAACCTCAACGTTGTTTCAACGTTAAAATATAGTTGATCAACGTTGCAACCTATATTCCACCTTCTTTCAACGTTGAAACAACGTTGCGTGCCTGCTGGGTAGTGAACTAAAACGAGCCACATTGAATGCTGTTAAATCACTAAAATGACTGGAGCAGAACTGATTATGATAAATTGGTTGCTCGGCATGAGAAGTGCATCCTCCTAGATGGCGTTTAATTTGAGATGGAGTAATTGTGCTTAAATCAAACATTAACGTGATGTAACGTCAAATTGACGTCGAAAAACCCTTGCGAATTGCTCCGAATCATTAAACATTGGTAGATTCATTTTCTCCCCATGAATTTTCTACAAAGCTACTGAACAGAAAATTTGCATATTTGTTGTGTATGTTCTTGATTAAATTTTGGCAAATTTTCATAACTTGATCTTTTTCTTTTATGGAGTTAAAAGAAATGTCACTTTAATTTCCGAACAACCCTCGTATATATCAGATGCGGTTTACTTATGTTAACATGCGAGAAATACGGTAGACATGCAGATATTTATGTCAACATGCAAGTTAGTATTATGTAGATATGCCACCTTATTTATGTCAACATGCAAGTTAATTATGTTAACATGTGAGACAATTATGTATACATGCAAGATATTTATGTTCACATGCAAGATAATTATGTTCACATGCTACTTATTTATGTTAACATGCAAGATATTTATTTCAACGTGCGACTTAGTTATGTCAACATGCGACATATTTTTACATATAAGATATTTATGTCAACATGCAAGATAATAAGTTGCATTTTGCATGTTAACATAGTTAAATATAGTACCAAAGCAAAAACCTTAGAACTGTCATTTACTATAGTGAAAGCATTGGAACTTTGATTTACTTGAGTAAAAACTTTGTAAATTTGATCTACTATAGTTAAAACTCTGGAAATTTGACTTCTTATGGTGAAAACTTTGGAACTTTGATTCACTATAGTGAAAACTTTGGAACTTTGATTTACTTAGTGAAAACTTTGAAACTTTGATTAAATACGATAAAACCCTTGTAAATCTGTTTTTTATACTCATTCTTTACATTCTATGATTTTCAAGGTTACAATTCGTAAAAGCTTTATAGAACTTTTTAACGAACCAGACCATTGCTCAAAAAGAATAATGTACAAAAATGTAAAGATTGCGCCGATAACTAATAAATTTTTTACTTAAATCTATTTAATTTTAATGTTGTACAGATGTAGCGTAAGTTTTATTAATGGAGAGAAAAAAAAATAACAAAAATTAAAATGGGGTCATTCGGAATCAAAATATCTGCTTCATCAATTGCAACTTCAGTCAACACGATTTTTTTTTTATTTTAAAAATGTAAGTATTGCATTTGAATTAACTACATTGTATGTTTAAATTAAGATGTACAACAAAAAGCTACCAAAACAAACCAAATATACACCTCTATAAACTGCTATATAATAAGAATGATGAATAATAAAAATACAGAAAAATAAAAAATTATTGTACTGTAATTGTACATGTAAGTAAATGCATGTTTGTAATCTTGAAGTTTCTGTATATTGATACATGTATGTTATAGGTATTTTATGATAATTAAATGTATGTCACTTTGAATTATTACTTGGATTTATAAGGCTCACATGTAAATATACATGTATATATATATATATATATATATATATATATATATATAATATATATATATATATATATATATATTCATACACATAAGGACTTAAGGAAGGTGGAGTGCGGTGGTTTTTATGTGTATTCAATTATATGGTATTTAATAACAGTGTATTTATATATGTGCAATATTTTCTTCATATTTCCCGCTATTTGTCATTACTTGTTGTTTAGAGTTATTCCCCTCTGTGTTATAACCCGTCCGTGTTAGGTGCGCCCGGGTCTATAGTACCCGGCTTGGAATTATTATTATTATATCATTATGTTCATTCGTGAATCAAGATATGTCTACATTTTATTATTATTACTGGTCAAATGTATTTTGGGGAATGTGGCTAAATTTTGTAATGGGAATTATCGCATTCTTTGATTTTGTATAACGTTTCATATCTTTAAAGTTTGTTTTATTGGCTGTAAATATTGCAACAGAATACAGAATCTAATTCTTTAATCAATGAAATTCTTGTTATTCTTTTATCCTTCTGAACTCTGGATCTATGTACGGGACTAACCCCTAGACAGTCCCGTTACAGATAAATTTCATTTTTATAAACTTCTTAGAACTAATTTTCAGAAAATAAAAAAACCATTTCTTGTATAATAATATATTTTATTCAAAAATTAAAATCATTGGTATGTTATTAAGGAATAATTTTTTTTTTAATTTCATAATGTGATCAATGAACACAACCACAGAAAGAAAAATGTCCTATATTGTACATAAATACTCAATACTTCTTCATCCACGAAAGCAAATCTCTATGAATCCATATTTTTTCGTTCCTCAATCCACGAAAATATGTGATTTTAAAGTAATATATTTCTGGATTTTGTCACTGAAATATCAGTGAACATTTTCCGTAAATTTAAATCAGCTTACAATTCTTACAAGATTTTATTTTAAGATATTTACATTTGCAAATGTTTTCCTTTGTATAACACTACTGAAAGCAATGCGTCTCTATAACTGTTTAAATACAGGTACGGGGTCAAGAGGTCATAAATGTGCGATAGATAAACGTTCGACTCGTATCTTCTCTGTGACGTCATAAAGGGTCGACGCGCGTTCAGTGGATTACATACATGCCGTTGGGTTTGAAAAATAACGCATTTCACACGTTAAAAGTCACAATCAGGCAAAACCAAAGTATGAATAAGTCGCAGAATGAAATATCATAATAAGGTATCATTTTTCTGAAACATTTCTATCGGGCTATAAATACGGGTTGGTACGAGATTAAATTTATCATAAAGCCCTTCGGGCTTTATTAATTTAATCTCTAGACCAACCCGTATTTATGTCCCGATAGATGTTTAAAAATGATACCTTATTTCTTTATATCATAGCATGATTTGATGGGTCTTTATTCATAAAATTTGATTTTCAATTAAATCGACTAAGCAAAGTTTAACGTGGGTGAAATGCGTTATTTTACAATACAATCAAATGGATATCCTGTTCTTTTAATGAGCTCATAATACTTAGAATCATCAAATGCTTCTTTAATCAAATATGAAGTACCACTTTTTAAAAAAATGATTAATAATTCATAATCCATTTACACCGCATCGATAGCATTCGTGGAATTCTTATAAGATTTTAAAGCTTTTTTTTTAACTTATAGAGATACAATTCTTGAAAAAAATATTATCTTAAGAAAATTAATAGCATGATTTAATGGGTCTTTGTATTTCTTCAAGATAAATCGACTGAGCAAAGTGCTCCAATTCTCTTGGGTTAAGAAAAACTGCCACATTGTCTACACAATCAAATGGATATCCCGCTCGTTTAATGAACTCATAATACTCAGAATCATCAAATGCTCTTGCAATCAAATATGAAATACCGCTTTATTTTAGATGATTAATAATTCATAATCCATTTACAATCGAGTATAAAGCATTCGTAGAGTTCTAGTAAGGTTTCAAAGCTTTTTTTTTAACTCATAGAGACACATAAGAAGGGATGCTAATATATACATTATAAGATATAAAGCCTAAAAATAGTCGTATCGTATTGATATTAGGGATATAATACATACACTAGGGATATATACGGATTAAATTTTGTTTGCAATATTGCACTCAATTTATAACTGAAAGGAAGTTAGATAATTTCATGCCTTGAATCTTATGCACTCTCAAATGTTCAAATGCCCTATCCATCTGAAGTTGAGCTTTGTATGTCGCGGATACTGACTTAGATGATACAGGACACACCTCCCAGAGGAAAAACGTCATCCTTATAAATCATATGATTCTGTGTATATTATTACCAGACTTGGTGGCGGAATTACACAGCAGTGCTGATTTTAAGCTTTGCATAATCTTTAGTAGTAATGCTAGGATTCAGCACCTGTCTGATTCTCTGCTCTGTGTTGACTTGGACAAGGGCCACATTTTTCCAGTCTCATTATTTCGCGGACACTCATTTAGATGACGCAGTATTCTATGATTCTCTTCTGTCACTACACCATTGTGGCTCTCTCACGCTGTGTTTCGCTATGTGTGGTCAGAACTGTCACTGTCTTGGCTACAACTCCCTGACAAAGAGGTGTCATCTATATAAATCATGTGATTCTGTGACTATAACTGATAACGAGACTGGGTGGAGGTATTACAATTCAAAATTAGAAGGTAGGACATACCAAAAAATAAAAATAATATCTGTAGAGCATTAAAAGCAGATAAGAGAAACAAAAACAGATGTCTGTATTGATATGTGTGTTTTTATCCATATTGTTTGTAATAGATAAAAAGTATATTTCTAAAATGTTCAGAAATGTTGAACTTTTTACTATATTTAGAATTCTACCTTTCTGCAACAACCATTTTAGATCTTTACAAATTTTCTTCACTTCAAATCCAATCATTATAACCTCAAAATCTATGCGATCAAACATATTCTATTAACTTGTGCAAACAGGATTTATGTTGTTATTTTGGAGATCTTGCATACGTACGAAAGCCTATCCAGAATTTATATTGATGATATTGTTTATTTCAAAAGGGTACCTTGTCAAATTTGTAAAAAGAAATTTAACTTCATGTATTGTTTTTTGTTTTTTTTTTTAATGTTTATTTATTTACTTAATTTTCTGATGAGGTATAAATTCATTTTATTGGTTTTTTTTTTATTCTTTGGTATAAGAAACAAATATGCAGTTATTTGTTTTATCTTAAAATCCAATCATATAATGTGCATTCAATATTATCGTATCAAAAGTATTTACATTAAATTGGTTTCAATGTGTGCAATTCATTTTCTTTCTTTATACATGTAGATCTGTTGATTTATTTTATCTTTGAATACATTTTAATCTTCTTCACATTCAAAGATAAAAATAAAGCTAAAGAAAAAACTTCAGAAACTCAAAAATTTGATCTTTATAGGAGAGGGTTGGCTGTTGTATGAGATGCATTATTACTTACAAATCAAGAATAGGGTCACATGGCCAAATGCCAAGGTAAGAATAACATGTCAGTTATAATGTTTTCATGTATCCTGACATACATAAAAGCACGTGCCTCATAATTTGGACAATTATATCTTTTTTAATTATCATTTCCTATCAGTCTGTTGGCAATAAGGCCAAAAATAAAATTAGCTTTGTTTGGCGTTGCCGTTCGACTCGGGTAAATCGGTGCGGTCGGAAGAAATGTTTTCAAATTTTACGTATCATAATTTTTTTGGGTCATATTTATCAGGATTTGGGTGTCTGTACGTTTGAGTAATATACAAAATAAGGAAGAATCATGTAAATACTTAATTGATTGAACAGTTTTCTTTTATAAGCATCTATGTGATGTTGATATTGCATATCACAAATCCAAGGCATGGCTGTGGAAAGCGGTAATGTAAACTCGGTATAAGAGAAGTTGATGCCAAGACTCTCCGCGTATATGGGTGTCTTAAAATGGCAAAAATATACTGACGAATCGAATCAGTTATACCAGTTTCAAATAGAAACTTCAAGGAACAATGTCATGTCTGATTAACTGTCACTGATTTGCTGGATGAATCTAGCAGTCATGCTTAGATTCGTTCATATGAAAACGACTTGATGCCAATTCAATGTCGGCGACTTTTTATACCATGTATATAAAAGTTTTAAAACTAATAGGGTTTGAAAATAAATAACAACTGGGAATCAATTCAGACAGCAGTTGTTGTAAAACAATCAGAAACCCATGACGCTCGAATACTAACAACATTTCTGAATTTGAAAAAAAAAATTTCCCCTACCTACCGACCCAAACCTTTAAGACTGAGTCGGCAACGCCAAACCAACAATATTTTAATAATGGCCTAAATAAGAAAGAATTATTTCAGGATGACTGTGAAAGGCAAGGGGCCTACTTGGTTACCATAGACACGGAAGAAGAAAATAAATGGTTGACAGAAACGTTCCTGCCAGTCTCGGGTCCTGGTACAGTTTTTTCTTGATAAAAATATTATTGAATAATATTATTTACCATCAAGCATATAACATAAGATTCGATTGATTAGAAAACCGGATGTCCACTTTTGAAAGTCTTATAAAACAAAATTAATTAACTTTTCTTCGTTTTATTTAACAACTTTCAGGGGAATGCAGTACATGGTGGCATTGTTGTTCACATTGGATAGGTGCGAACGATATTGAACAGGAGGGGAAGTTTGTCTGGACAGGAAACAACCGTAACGTCACTTCCTACTCCAACTGGTACCCCAGTGAACCGGATAATGCTTGGGTAGGGGACTGTGTACAAATTTGCCATGGGGGCGTCTGGGGAGATTATAATTGTGACGGGGGGACGTTTTCATACATTTGTGAAAAAGATTAAAATATTACAAGTCGTGAAATCAACAAATATCGAATAAACCATTGAGAATGTTTACATAAATTTGTGAAAAAAGATTGAAAAAGTCGTGAAGTCAACAAATGTTGAATATACTATTGAGACATGTTTTCACACATTTGTGAAAAATATTACAAATGTTACAAGCCGTGTTACTAGTCATGAAGTCAAAAAGTATCGGATAATCCATTGAGGATTTTTTTTTATTCATTCAAGTAAAATTGATTGAAGATGTTACAAGGCTTGTAAATAGTCATGAATTCAACAAGTATCACATATACCATAAAGATCTATGCTCGTACATGTTGTGTGTAAATATTCAAAAATGATACATTTTCTTCAGATACAAAAAAACCCATCAATCTATCTGTAGACATATGGACCAAAAATTGTGAGATTGATTAAAAGATTGATTGTATGTTGTCAGCGTTATTCACTCTTATTTAGAACGTCTGATAAAGGAACAGTTGGTATCTGTATATTTTTATAGACACAAGTCAGTTTCGACCGAGGTAAGAAATTGATTCAGAAACAGAAATTTGTAGAAGGATATGGAGATAACGAACAGTATTCAATCTCAAAGTCCATAAAACAATACAAAATAAGAGCAGAGCAAACACGGACCCCCGAAACATCAGAGGTGGGATCAGGTGCCATGAAGGAGTGAGCATCCCCTGCTGACCGGTCTCCTTGTCATGAGCGGGAAATAACGGATAAAATATGTCGTCAATTCATTGTATAAATAATGGACTAGCAATTAGTATGAAAAACGTCAGACAGCATTTGCCGTAATGGTAAATTGTATTTGCTGACACGTCATTGTATCGACCATAGAACTTACGTGATGACTTTAAACGAGACTGCTGAAATTCTTGTTTCATCAACTTACTTGGTAATAATTTACCTCGTTTCTTGCGTATCGAATCAACTGAGATATATTCACTCCGTATGCAGGTGATGAAGGTATATTGCTGCATTTTTCATTATTAGTTATTAAGAAGTATTTAATTAGTATAACAGAATTTGCCCATGTCACAATGAATTACGCCAAGAACATATTACTCCGCATGACGTTATTTCTAAGATATGCTCAATCTAAAGCCATTTTTGAGGAAAAATTGTCGTGTTGTCCTACCTTAAATAAATCATAGGAATGAAGCTTATTTTAACCTATGTTATACGAAATAACATAACTTTGGACACTTTACGCTTTATAAACCGCGAAGGAATGAAGCTTATTTTAACCTATGTTATACGATATGACATAACTTGGGGCAGTGTATGCTTTTTCGAGGTGACGTAAGTCAGCCTCGGTAGTCAGCGTCTAGATTAATGGCGGACACCTCTAATCACTACCATTTACAAAATCATTTTGCTTTCCAGTGTAAAAAATGTTTCGCCAGATATGCTAATTCAGCGTAAAAGCTATCGCAATTCACTTTGAAAATGATGTAAGATTCATATGTGTACATTATGAAGTAAGCAAGTTTATAGAGCGTTTATAAAATATTAACTTTTAACCTTTCGATATAAAACATAGTCCACACCTCAAAAGGAATTTCATACTATTGTTTGGGTTCGTACAGAAGTTTACAACTATTTCTTATTTATCAAAATTTCGCTCCAATATCTTTAAAAAAACAGAAATGGTCTTTAGGAAAGAAAGCCACTGGTGTTGTATACATTCGCAAGTTAAACACTTCAAAGATGAGCCAGGGGACCAGGCTAGGGGGAAATCATCATCGAGGCTTACTTTTGAGGAACTGTGGGAAGGCAGAGCCTTCGCTGTCTGAAAATTATGCTAATTAGGCGATTTACTACTTGCCAAAAAATAGTTCATTATTTTTTTCTATTAACCACGCTTAAAACAGGCATATCTTTAAGCAATGTTACATTAAATAAAATAATAATGCCTAGTATGGGAAAAATAATATTTCTCAAGGAACAGTATCTGTGTATTTATAATTTTGATACTGAAGAGCGCACTATTTCTCTGTATCCATACGCGCCACGCTATCTTGTTTGTCAACACGGAGATGATCGTCGTCGAACATCGTGCCTGAAACAACTGATATATTCTGTCAACAAATCATTTCAAGGTAATTTTTCACAATCTAATGCGTTTATTTTACACATTCGTACCCAGGTATTGTTTTTAGTGCAGTAATTTATGTATAAATAACGTAAGTGTATGTAAACAACAAACCTATCGAAGGGGTCGAGCGCCATATTGACAGGTTGAAATAATGTAAACATGCAACAAGAAAATATGTGATGTATTTGTAAATGTTCAATATTAAATCTAGCGTCTTCAAGAGGAAAACGTATTTTGTGCAATTTGCCAATCAAGAATCTATTGTTTTCAAAGAAAACGTAAATTAACTCGAGAATATTGACATTTGAACGAGGTAATTCAAAACTGGAACTCGAGTCAGTAATATTTGGGAAAAAAATATTTTTGGATATTAATAAGATTTTATTGCTTTGACATATGAATAATCTCAAGAGTGTGCATTCTAGAGTTGATATATTTTAAAGAAATTATGCACTTACTGGTATTTGTTAATCTGTTGCTATAATTCAAGAGTAGAACTCTATTGATATTTGGAAAATATATTTTTGGATATTATTAATAAGATTCCATAGCTTTGATACATGACCTCAAGAGTTGACATTCAAGAGTTGATATATTTTTAGAAATTTATGAACAGGTATTTGTTAATCAGTAAATCTGTCACTATAATTCAAGAGTGGAACTCGATTGATTTTTGGAAATATCATTTTTGGATATTAAGATTTCATTGCTTTGGCACAAGAACTATCTCAAGAGTTGACATTCAAGAGTAGATATATTTCAAGTGTGGAAATATTCTTAGAACGGTTTATCTTTGACGTGGAACATTTAGCCTTTTTTCTGCTTGTTTTTCAGCAAACTATTTATTTTGTAGTCTTATCTAAACTTTCTTTAGTAATTGAATGAAAATATATTTTCTTTTAATTCATAAGTTAGAATATATTGTCGTGAAAAGGGAACTTTGTAATGATCAGAGAATTGCAAAGAAATGCCATTATGATGGTCACAAAATTAATTTAAGAATCAAAGATAAGAATTTCAATTTGAATTACGATAAGAGGAAAAAATGCAAGTATTTAATACATGAAATGAACACTTTTTTTGAAATGCTGAAATGGTGTTTTCATGAGAAATGAAGGGTAGCAAGAAAAGAAAATTACAAGATTCTGATAGTTATCAAACAGATAGGTTGAAATCTGTACAAAAAAGACAGAGACACAATGCAAGAAAATATCCTGTAATATTGAAATGTGTATCTGCTACTTTTCATCAGGGATCAGATTTCTTCTCAGAATATAGCAGATGTAAACAATGTACAGCTAACTCTCTTGTTATGTTCCCCCAAACGAAGTTGGGGAACATATTGTTTTTACTCTGTTTCTTCTTCTTAATATTATTATGTCGCCCCAGACGAAGTCGGGGAAACATATTGCTATTGTACGCATGTTTTTTTGTCCAGGCGTTTTCTTTGAGATGGCTGGGACAATCTTCCTGAAACTTTCCTCAAAGGACGATCACTGGTTGTTGTTGTGCCATGTGGTCATTCACTTTCAAAATGGCTACCGTTGCCATGGAAACCCTGAAAAAAGGACAATTTTGCCGCGAGTTTTCTCTGGTCCCTTGAACATTCGTCATGAAATTTTTTTTATTTTAGTGATTAGTAATTGTAGTTTTGGATTTGCATTTAAAATTTTCAAATAATCAATTATTGCCATGAAAAACCAGGGGAAAGTTGAAATTCTTTAATTTCAATTTTCTCAATAACTACTCAAGCAATGTTTTGAAACTGTCAATGTTTTTTCCCTTGCAATGTGTCAAAGTGATTTCTATTTTTAAAATAATTGTAATGAGTGCTCACAGTTGCCATAGAAACGAAATAGAAAAAAGGTTAAGATGTACACGTGTTCTCCAAGGTCTAGGTCAAAGTTCAAAGTTTTTATCCAATAAAAGTTCTTTTCACAAGAATACATATTTAAAAAGGAAAGCCGTAGCCCTTACCGTTCAAACGTTATGGCTAGGCTAAGGTTTATGTTCAAGACGACCCCCCCCCCGAAGGAAGTTAATTTTTTTTCTCCAAACCCCCCAATTTTTCCCCCTTTTTTAAAAACTGAACGTGTCTGTGGAAAGTGGGGGGGTTAAACCTACCCGCAATGTTAGTAGATAACTTTTCCCCCGGGGCGGAAGTGACTCATAACCGGAAGTGGCCGGATGTGGGGTAACCGGAAGCGGAAGTGGGGGAGGTGGAAGTGGGCCCCCTAGGGAAGCGGAAGGGTTTAACCCTAAGTGGTCTAGCGGAAGTGGGCCCTAGCGGAAGTGGAAGTGGTTTATCCTGAAATCGGCTAGCCTGAATCAGGCTGGATGACCGGCGTCAATTGAGTGCAACCTAACCCCCTTAGCCCTAACCCTAATCCCCCTTTAGCCCCCCTCCCCCTAACCCTAGCCCTAATCCCTTAACCCTAGGCCCCTAACCCTAACCCCCCTACCCTAACCCCTTTAACCCAAATTTCCCCCATCCTAACCCCCCTAACCCTAACCTTAACCCTAACCCCCCTTAGCCCTTAACCCCCTTAACCCTATTGGGGACTAAGGTGGGATTCAGTATATAGCTCTAAAATAGTGTTTACACTATACTGAAGGGCCGTGTGCAAAAAAAAAAATTAGGGTCGTGTGCAAAAAAAAAAATGGGTTGGACTTACCTATGCATTGTATTTTATCCACTGTAAAATACAATGGGATTATGACGTCACTCATTCACAGTCTAGACAGCCTAGCCTAAACCAGTTCAAACTGGTTCTTTTTTACTGAAAGACAATAACAA